AGATCCATATTTGTGCCCATTCCAAAAAAGGCGATTCCTTAGAATACTAAAATTATAGAACAATATCATTAATATCACATGTACGTACAATGTTGCTGAGGATTAACCAGCAAGGGTAATAGCAGCACATTGGCAGGGAACTGCCAAAGGTTCAGGCTGGATTCAGAAGAGGACATGGAACAAGGGATAACATGACTGGTGTCAGATAGATCTTGGCTCACAGCAAAGAATATCAGAAACATGCTTATTTGTGTTTCATTGACTGTACAAAAGCATTGGACCGTGTGAACCATAAACTGTGGATAACCTATGGAGGAATGGGGATTCCAGAACACTACATTGTGCTCATTCAGAACTTGTGCATGGATCAAGAAGGAGTTGTTCAAAGAGAACAAGGGAATACTGCATGGTTTAAAATCAGGAAAAATGTGTATAAGGGTTGTATCTTCTCACCATATTTATTCAATCTGTATGCTGAGTCAATAATCAAAGAGCTGGATTATATTAAGAATATTTGGCATCAAGATCAGAAAAAGGCTTATTAATCAATCCATGAAATGCAGATGGCATAACTTGGGAGAACTTGCAGCACTTGCTGATGAATATCAAGGATTACAGCCTTCAATATGGATTGCAACTCAATGTACAAAAGAACAAAATCCTCACAACTGGACCAACAGTAACATCACGATAAATGAAGAAACCATTGAACTTGTCAAGGGTTTTGCCTTGCTAGGATCCACAATCAGTGCTCATGAAAGCAGCAGTCAAGAGATCAAAGGAGCCATTGCGTTGGGTAGATATGCTGCACAAGAGTTCTTGATGGTGTTGAAAGGGAAGGCAGCTACTTTGAGAACTAAGGTGAGCCTCCCCCAAGTCACTGTATTTTCATTCGTTCATATGCATGTGAAAGTTGGACACTGTTTAAAGAAGAGCAGAGAAGGATCTATCCATTTGAATGTCGGGAAAGCCCATCGTACTTGGTAAAGTAGAGGAAGAGTGGAAAAAGTGGGAGGCCTTTGACAAGATAAGAGTGACACAGTGGCTGCAACTGATGTGCTCAGACACGACATCCATTGTGAGGACCGTGCGGGACCAGACAGCATTGTACACAGGGTGGTGATCAGTCTGAACGGACTCCACAGCCCCTCACAGCAACCATAGCATTAATTTGTTTAAAACCCTTTAAAAATTATTTATCATTTCAGGCCTGCCTTTCTATTCCTATTCTTCCTTGTTGAAAATTATGTTCATGGGCTCCATGTATATTTTTTGTTTTAATGTGCTCTGAAAAACGGAGTTGTTTTTGTGTGTGCATGTATTTCTCATTACTGTAAATGGCTGGGTATTAACTTGTGCTGTTTCCTATTTTTCATTGCACTTTGCTTTTAAGAATTTTTTCCCCCATGTTGTTATGTGGTCTGTTATTTCTAACAGCTGCAGTTGGTAACAAGGAGACAGGGCTTTTGGACATCTGAGGCAATTTGTTAATGCCTTAGAGTGAAAAGTCTCTGTTCTGCTCAGCATTTTGCTCCAGGGAGAGAAGAATGAGCCCACAGGGTATGTTTCAAGGCAGTTGCCTAGGAGAAACAACAGCAGAATAAAAATCTAGTTGTAGCCCATCAACTGCAGCTCTTCCACCGGACCAGCTACAACTCTGTTCACGCATCTACGGTGGTGATTTTGTTGGCTCCTGACTGCTGGGTACCACTTCCCAACAAAACAAAAGGGAACCCAGGCCCGTGCCATCCCTATGATGACTTGTGTTTGGGCTGCTGTGACCCATAATGTGTTCATTGCCTGATTGCTTATAGTAGATAGATGTGCCTTTTTCCCCTCGTCCAGCTTTGTCTAGAACAGTGGTTCTCAACCTGTGGGTCGCGACTCCTTTGGGGGTCAAACGACCCTTTCACAGGGGTCGTCTGATTCATCACAGTAGCAAAATGACAGTGATGAAGTAGCAATGGAAATCATTTTATGGTTGGGGGTCACCACAACATGAGGAACCGTATTGAAGGGTCGCGGCGTTAGGAAGGTTGAGAACCACTGCTGTAGAAGCTCTGCAGAAGCCTGTTCAGCTTCACAGAGAAATGCAAACCTCCCCTCGCAGGTGGTGGTAGCTGCATAGATGAGGTCTATTGACTGACAATCAAACCTGGGTTTTCTTCAGCAGGGCAAGGATGCTTCCTCTCTCACTGATACATAAACACATGTATACATAGTTCTGGCCCTCCAAAGGGGTTGGGGAGTGAAATAGTTACATAATCTGGTGTCAATTTGAGGATTCAGAGTGAAGGGGTGGAGTCTAGGCTTCAATCAGGTCATAGACAATGAGGCTTCTGTGTGGGCATGGCCTTTTCCTGAGGATTCTGGGAACTCCTGTATTTCCTTCTCTCTCGGCTCACTCCCTGGGAGTCATTGCAGCTGACGTGACACATGGAACTATGCTAATGCCCTGAGCTGGAGGAGCCACGTGGAGACCCCCTGCCAGTGCTGAGATGCCTCTACTGCCACTGGATCCACAAGACTTTTCACTCATTAGCCTGTGATTGGGCGTCATTGCATGTGTTGCGTGAGTCTGAAGAGGAATTTATAGACTGGTACTGGACATATGGGCTGATATCGGACATGTGGACTTGATCTGGACTGACCTGGGATGTTTTCTCAATATTCAATTACTCTTACATATAAAGCTCTTTCTTATACGTGTGTGAGTGTCTCCCTAGATTTGTTTCTTTAGTCTACTGGACTAACAGAGGGAGAAGGAATGTAATCAATAAAAACAAAATAAAACTCACTGCCATCTAGTCAATTGTAACTCACAAGAACCATAGGACAGAGTAGAATGGCTCCTATGGGGTTCTAAGCCTTGAACTCTTTACGGGAGTAGAAAACCCCATATTTCTCAAAGCAGCTGGTGGTTTCAAACAGCCAACCTCGCAGTTAGCAGCCCAACTCGTACCCCACTATGCCACCCAGGATCCTTAATCAACAAAAGGTCACATAAATCAGGGAATTCTGGGAGGGGAACCGAAAGTTCTGAGCAAGAAGAGAGAACTGAACCAGAAACAGCAGAGGACCAAAGAGGAGGGTTTGAGTTAGGGCTCTAAAGTAGATGCAGACAGTCTCTGGTAACGACCAAGTCCTGTTCCTGATTTTGTCTTTACGGCTTTCTGTGTAAGTTGGAATGAGCGCATATGGCTTTTCTTTAAGCCTTGCTTTGGTGCAAAGAGTGGCCTTGGCGGCTGCGTGGGCTCCAAGTTGGGCAGCTGACTATCCAATCAGCACATCGAAACTACCACCTGCAGGAGAAAGACGAGATTCCCTGTCCCCCCCTCCCAAAGATTTACTGCCTTAGAAATCCACAGGGGCAGGTCTGTTCTGCCCTGTACGGCCTCCAGGAGTCAGAATCAGCTTGATGGCAGTGCATTTCCAGAGCTTTTTTCTCTGTGTGTGTGCAAGGAAAGGAGCCGTGATGGTGAAGTATTGGGTTGCTAACCACAAGGTCCGTGGTTCAAAACCACCAGCCTCTGTGGGAGCAAGGGGATGCTCTCTGCTCCTGTAAAGCCTTACAGCCTGGGAAACTCTGAGTCATTATGAGTGGAAATCACTTTGATGGTACTGGTCTGCTTTGGTTTGGGGTTTAGTGCAGGATGATTTAAAAGCTACCTGTGCAGAAAGTGAAGGTGATTCTGATAATAAAAAACGAAACTTCTTGCATGTAGGAGTTGGCTCAAGGTTGGTCCTGGCAACCCTTGGAAGCAGTACTACTCTGTAGTGTTGCTGTGGTTGGGACAGGCTAAATGGCAGAGTGCACGTGCTCCGTACGCTTTTGAATGTCGTGATCTTTGGGTGGCAAATGGCCTGTCCTTTCTTCTGAGGCCCCTCTGGCTGGGTTGGGACCACCACTCTTTTGGATAGTGGCTGAAAGCTTAAGGCTTTGCCCCTCTCAGAGATTTCTAAGTGGTCAGTGGTTTATTGAAAATCGCCTGTAATCCAGAATGACGACTAGCTCCCTGAGAGTTAGATGCCTTGTTCGCCACAACATCCAAAATGAGGGGGATCACATGGGGCTTAGATGTGGGTGAACCAGAAGGCATAAGTGCCCGGGTGTGGATGGAGCAAGTACTTTTGAAATGGCCATTTTCGTATTTTGCACCCATGGCTCAGCTCATCTTAATGCTACTTATCATTTTATTTCGTGCATTTTGTAGGGGGGACAAAACCCAGTTCTTCTAGGCACTTTTGCTACATTACAGAACAGTTAATGCACCGTAATTGCTGTGAGTTTTGTCACATGGGCATGCGATGGTGTTTGCTTTGTTTTTGCTTTTAAATCTCACCTGACTTAATGGGAAGTGCCTGAAACATTCAAGCTCCTTGGAACACAGAGTGAAGCTCTGCTGATTTCTATTAAAGACCTCTGGACATGAAATGTTTCTGCTAATAAGGCTGGCCTTGACCTTTTCCGGATATTATTCCTCAGGCATGAACTACTACCTTAATGTATCTGTGATAGTATCTCTGCTCTCAGGGTGATGCTATAGTGTGGTTCAGGTGCTACATGGCATTCAGTGAGTTGTTCCTGAAATTTACTGTGGACCAGATTTGCATGACAGGAGCCCTGGGGGTCTAGTGCTTACAATTTGGACTGCGATCCACAAGGCCAGCAGTTCAAAACCACCAGTGGCTCAGCAGGGAAAGATGGAACTTTCTATGCCTGTAAATAGATACAACTTCAGAAACTCATAGGGGCAGTTCTACCCTGTCCTGTAGGATCAATATTTGATGGTATCAACTTGATGCCCGTTGAGTAAGTGATTGAGTGAGTGAATGAGTGAGGTTTGCATGTGGGAAGGACCTTTATATATGGGGATTTTGCAACCAACAAGTGAGACTTGAAATTTCCAAATGAAATTCTGAATTCCAAATGTGTCTGCCATGTTACAGAATTGGCAGCGCCCCCTCTTGATTTTACCCCGTGTCTCCTTCACTTTCAGAGCATTTTATGCAGGCCCTGCCAGAGTACCACGTGGTGGGGCCTGTCCGCGTGGATGCGAGTGGGCATTTCCTATCCTATGGCTTGCACCGTCCCGTTCCCAGCAGCAGGCGGAAGAGAGATTTGGATGGCCCAGATGACCCAGTGTACTACAGGATTTCCCTTGAGGAGAAGGACCTCTTCTTGAACTTGACCGCCCATCGGGAATTTCTCTCTAATGACTACATCGTGGAGCGCCGGTATGGAAATCTCTCCCAGGTGAAGATGGCAGCTTCCTCCGGACCCCGCTGCCATCTCAGGGGCACCATTCTGCAGCAGGGTACCCGAATCGGGACAGCAGCTCTCAGTGCCTGCCATGGACTGGTGAGTTCATCTTCCCTTGGTGTTCCCAGGGGCTAGTGAATCATCTGGGGTGCCCACTGCAAACAGATTCACTGACATACCTAGCATCTGTGAACTGATCAACAGTAAAGTGGAAGATGCTGGCTTCCAAAAGGGTCCGGGGAGAATGTGCACAATAAGTAAAAGCCAAGCTGGGAGGTGCAGGGAATAGGGGTGATGTAGACCCCGAGTCGAGTTCTTCCCATTGATCAGCTATAGTTGTGTTTGTTGGCCCATGAACACAGATGCAGTGAGCACCTGTGAGATACCAGATTCTGGCCTCCTGGGGGTTGGGGAGAAAGAACATAATAAACAAAAGGTAATGTACAATCAACAATTCTGGAAGGGGTAAAAATAAGTGGACCGAGGGTTTCAAGGAGGAAAAGAGAACTGCAGCCAGGACCCTCCGAGCAACGAAGAGGGTCTTTAAGCTCAGAGGTAAGGCAGGAGGTTGCTGTGACTGAGTGACGGGCCTGCATCTTTTGGATTAGAAAGAGCTGGCTTTGGATTGCAGTCCAGTCTCAAGGCTGAGCACAGTAGCAGCTATCACAATATGATGGTGAACTATACAGGTATTGTCATCAGATTTCAAATGGGATCTTGGGCTTTGTGCCTGTTTCCTCACCTGTGAAAGGACGGTACTCATCTTAGAGAGCAGCAGTTGGCAAACTGGGGCCTAAAGGTCCAATCTGGCCCAGCTTGTGTTTTTGTAACTAAGTTTCATGAAAACAAGACAAGCCTGTATGTTCACATGCTGTCTGTGGCTGCTTTTGATTCATAACAACAAGGAGAGTAACTGAGACAAGCACTGTTTGGCCTGAAACACCTAAAACATTTACTGCCTGGGCTTTACAGGGGTGGGGAATGTCAACTGCCCTAGAGTGTTATGCAGATTAAATGAACTGCATAACATAAATAAAGCAAAGTCTTAGAAAAGTATATTTAGTAAACAGTAGACCTCAGCCAAACTTGGCCCCAATTATTTTTATGCTTCTCATATGTCACTCCTTGTCTGTCAGTTTGTCTTACTGTGATGGGTATGCATTACTGTGATGCTGGAAGGAATGGCACTAGTATCTAGCATACCAGCAGGGTAGCCCATGGTGGTCTGGTTTCGGAGCCACTTCCAGACTAGTACAGACTAGGAAGAAGGAATAGGAGGTTCGTATCTAAGGGATTAGCTCCTAAAGGCCTTAGGAATCACAGGAGAACATTGACGGACACAGTGTTGGCAGATGAGCCCTTAGGGTAGACGGCGCCCAGCCACAAGGACAACACTGGACCCATACACGTTTCTCACCATCTCCTTTTTCAAACAAATGAGAAAGGAGATTACTTTGAGTCTGAGTTGCTCTATGACATGTTACATCACCAAATTTGACTCCGTTTATTTTTCAAACTCTATCTTTAAAAAAGTGTTTGTTTGGTCAGCCTTCTTACTTCCCGCAGTAGCAGTGGCAACAGCAGGGACAATTTGGGGATCTTGCTGACGTTTCTGAGTGGTTTTCTCACGTCCGAGGAGGAGGCGGCTGCCAACCCCGACCGTGTGTGCTCTGGGAGTGACTGTCACTGGAGGGCTGGCTGTGGTGGAGCCCGGCATGTTGACCGTGGCACCCAGGCCAGGGCTGGTTTGCTGGGCAAAACCGCGAGTGGTGCTGACATTCCTACAAAACAGGGGTTCAAAATCCTACCATCGTTGCGCTCACTTGGCTGAGAATTTCTATCCTTTATAACGTCCGACTCTATTCATCCTGTATCTGAACAGCCTGACTTTGCTGGAATCCGTTGGGAAAATGTGTGTAAAATTTTCCACAACAATTAAAATACCCAAAAAAGTTCATTCCCCCCTTAAGGATCCTTTGGATGATTCTAGTTATGCAATAAAAGAAATGTCTAGCTCTGTCTTTTTCTATCAATCTGCTCGCTCACACCTGTGTCTGACTTTCCCCTAGTGAGATGGCGTGTACGGCTGGATTTCCTAGAGAAACAAAGTGGTGACTCTCATACATGCACAAGTTGAAGGGCTACTCCCCAAGGTGCGCTGTGGATTTACATCCTGCATGCTGCCTGGGAGCTTGCTAGAAAGGCAATGAATGTCTACACTTCAGATGTCATCAGTCAGAATCTCTGAGGGTAGGAAGTGGGCGGGAACCTGTGCTTTACCAGGTTCTCCAAAAGACTGCGGTGCCCAGCAACGTTTGACAAGCGCTGGTCGAAGGGTATCTACATCCTGGCTAAACAGGACTTCTCTGGGAAGCTTTCAAGAAGTACCCATGTGCTGATTTCCAGATGTTCTGATTTAAATGGGCTGAAGTTGGAACCTGGGCATCAATATGTTTCCATGTTCCACGGGAGATTCTAATGTGCAGTCAAGGTTTGAGCGAGTGGGTATTCATTAGTTGATTAGCTAGCATTGATTTAAAGTACTGTTTATTCCCTGGTGATTATAACATGTAGCCAGAATTGAGAAGCACTGATCAGAATGACTCCCTACTTTAGTCTTGTAAAGTTGGTACGGTGTAATGGGCTATGCATGGGATGGCTAACCTAGAGGCCAAGCCCATTACACGCTGCACGGGAAAGATGAGGCTGTTTGCTTCGTCAAGATTTACAGCTATGGAAATGCTATTGGAACAGTTTTACTCTGCCCTGAGCCCAAGGGGCATAGAGGCTACGTGTTGGTCTAGCCACACGGTCAGCCATTCGAAACCTTTAGCTGTTCCCCTGGAGAAAGACGGAGCTTTCTACTCCTGTAAAGATCTACAGTCTTGGAAACTCACAGGGGCAGATCTACCCTGTCCTCCGGTCACTATGAATTAGCATGAACTCCCACTCGATGGCAGTGAGTTTGATTTGGGTTTTGCTATAAGGTTGCTAGGAGTCAGAATGGACTGGACAGCCTTGTTTGGTCTTGTAAGGGGGCCCCGGCTAACATTGCAGCTGCTAACCAGAAAAATGAATGGTTCAAACACCCAGATGCTCCTCTGGAACACCAGGATAAAAATAATGTGGCAGCCGGCTATTGTAAAGATTTACAGTCCTGGAAGCCCTAGGGAGGGAGCGGGGAGGGCAGTTCTGCTCTGTAGAACTCTGTAGATCTCAGGGGGTCAGAGTCAACTGGGGTCAACAGGCTTGGTTTCTGGAGCTTTGATCTTGTGCTTTTGGGGGAAATTGCGTACTCTTAAGAGTTATCCTGGGTTTGGAAATAGAATCCTGGGGATTTACATCTCTACCAAATGGTTGCCCGAACCATGGCGGACCACTCTGTAGGCATTTACAGATTCAGATAGTAGATTCGTGCTGAGGACAGCGCAACGAAACACGTATCCATGAATGGACTTCTATTGTGGCCAAAACGATGGAGAAGTTTTAAACCGAAATCACGGAATAATGTTGCCAGAGAAACAACCCACTGGGACTCTTTTGGAGCCTTTCAGACATCAGGGGCAGTTAGATGGTTGACTGTAAAAAGACACTGGAATCCAAATGAGTTAATCCCCTTTCTGTGCACAGCTTGGCTGGCCTCCGGTTGATTTACGGAAGGGTCATCATTTGACAGTCAGCCTAGAGTAGTTCCAGGTGAAGGGATGCTCGTTGCCTGTGGATCTGACTTCTGTTGCCGTGTCTGGCTTCGGACCTCCAGTGTATGCCCTTTCCCTTTCACCCACGCTCAAACTCAAAGGATCGGAGACTTACAACGTACTCACTCTGGACCTTACCCCACGTCCAGGGATAGAGCTAACATTTGCATAGTCTTTCTCAGGACAGAAACCCTGGAGGGCAATTCTACTCAGTCCTATTGTTGGATCTATGAGTTGGACTTTCTTTGATGGCAATCATTTCCCACTCCTTTCCCACCCCTGCCCCACCCCAAAATTTCTTGAACATTGAACATTGGAGCCGTTTCTTTTGGATGATTAGAGTTTAGCTGATGCCCCATTCTGAGTTCCATAATAGAGAAATTCTGAATTGAGCCCCAGAGAGTTATTATAGAATTTCGGTGAGGTGGTTTTGGGTTTTCTGTTTCTGGGACACTACAGGTTTAGTCCCAGGTAAGAATTTTTGGTTAGTTTTTCAGTTCAAATTTTTGCACTGGGAGAAATGTGCACTCATGCACAATGTTATCTGACACATTCACGCACCGTGCAGCTTTAGGGTTCAAATTTCTCAGGGAGTGTCACCAAGGACCAGTTTGGGCAGCCACCTTCAGCGTAATTCAGTGCCTTTCTCTCCGAATCTGTGAAGAGAGCTCTTGTCATCCCTGTGATTGGCAGGCAATATGGCAGGCCACTGGCTGAACTCTTAAGAACCAGAGTTCAGATGATGAGAGCTAGATGCGAGACCCAGAGGGGGGAAAACTTGGAGGAGTGTTGTCTTACTCAGGGCTGTGACCTAAGTAAGGACAGTGTGTTCCACCATAATCTCTTTATATCAAATCAGGGCTGATACGTCAGACCCCATCAAGGAGGGAAGATTACAGCACCACATAACTGCCAACCATGGCTCAGTTACATTGACACACAGACTCCCTCATATGCAAGCGGTTCCATTTTTCCATATTAACTGAGATTGGTGAGTTCACTTTACTCAGGGGCTCCTTAGAACAAAGACCCGGACAAGCACTTCTGAAAGGTGAAACCTTGTGCTCAGTCCTAATGGTGTCGTTTCTTCATTAGCTTTCCTTAGAGTTTTTTAAAAGTTAAACTTGTTATTTTGTGATAATTGTCCATTCGTACGCAACTGTAAACAGATATGAAATGGTTTACCAGGTTCCCGTAGTCATCTGGCAAAATTATAGTCCAGTATCACAATCAGGATATTGAGGAATGGATACAGTCAAGAGAAGAACATTTCCCACAAGGAAGAGATAAGCCAGTCAGGGTGTAGTATAGCCCTCATGAAACATACAACTTTCCTCTAGTTTTTTTAATGCCCCCCCTTATCATGACCCCAATTCTATCTCACAAATCTGGCTAGACCAGAGCATGTATACTGCTACAAGAGCTCACAACAAGGGAATCCAGGACAGATAAAGCCCCTCAG